TGGGAGAGAGACAACAATGTCCGCACGCTTTATTGTACGTCGAAAAACTAAAACAACTCGGCATATTCGCGAATGTTGTCAAAACAGTGCACAGTTATATGCAAACGTTTTACTGCACTTCTGAATGTGCATAACGTCAACTATTCGCCAGAGCCACACGGCAGATGTATGAGGAGCAATTCAAAAGATTACGAAATTTTAAATGGCATTATAAAATACCTTCATTCATATCTTCATTTACTTCCATTGTGTAGCGTACATATTAAATTTAATAAAATTGTTTAAATCTTTACACTCGGGTACTGCCACTGCTAATGAGTTCGAATTTAGTTTAAATGCACCTTTAGAGCTTATCTTGAACCACGAGTGTCGTAAGAGTAGACTACGAGAAATATCAGAACTTATGATCATCATCATCATTATCATCATTGCAGCCCTTCACAAGTCCACTGCTGAACATAGGCCTCCCCCAAGTAATGCCACAAAGCACGGTCCTTAACCACCTGCATCTATTGACTTGCTGCATGTCTTACCCGGTCCTCACTCCATCTAGTTGGGGGACGTCCTTTACCTCGCCTGCTGGTACGAGGCTGCCACTCGGGAATCTTTTTTCCCCACCCCTAAGCTTAATTTCTAAGTTTATCACACAGAGAAACTCCGAGCATCGCCCTTTCCATAGCTCGTTGAGCGACTTTGAACTTTCTCATACGGCCAGCAGTGAAGAACCACATCTCAGATCCATAAAGATTGTACAACCAGTGCGTGTTGCCAGTCATCCAAAAAAAGGATGACTGGCAACACGCACTGGTTGTACAATCTAGTTTTAAGGTTTTGAGGTATGCCTGACGAAAATTTGTGTCGTAATCTCCCGAACGCTGCCCAGCCGAGTTGAATCCGTCGATTGACCTCTCGGTGGAAGTTGGGACTTAACTAGTCGGACTACTTGTCCCAAGTAAACATACTCGTCAACAACTTCGAGATTATTGCTCCCAACAACCACCGGCATAGGTGTGACATGGACATTACACATGACATATGATCGCACAACACGAAAAACAATACAAAATCGAGCCATAGAGATATCAAAATGAAAGTAATTAAAAGATTAAAATATCGCGATAAAATCCGTAACAGTAGTTTTATTAAATGTTTTAGTGTTGCGTAAATATAAGAAATCATTAATTAAAAGATTTTTGAATAACACCAATTAAAATAAACGGTGTAGTTTGTTTCTTTAAACCCAAAACACTGTTATTTGATAACTGTTGTAAATAAGGGTCCATTAGTCACAGCCAAACCAGTTTACACCAAAATAAAACAAACATACAACGTGGGAAAGAAGACAATAATATAAGCAAAGCGTTGCAATGACTGAATACGTCTATTTTTAAAACTAGCCCATGATGTTAACCCAGTGTTCCAAAATTTATGAATTTTCGCATCTCATCTACATCATAGATTCGATTTCAGAGTATTAGATGTCATAAGAAGCGAAATAATATTTATAATAATAATTAACCGTCTGCCGAAGGTGCCAATTATTAGTCTTTCCTTGGGGGAGGCCTATATTTTACGTGAACTTTAATAGACTGTAACAGTAACGGTCACCTTAAATATTCCAAGAGCTGAACGAATTCCTCTATATTATTCAAGAAACATTTCACCGTAAAGTGTCTCCGTAACGATCCGTTTTATTACACAAGAGGTGCATGTAGAAACAGTTTTTATTACAAACTATTTCTTCGGCAACAAAATTAAATAATTAAGTGGTTCGTAAATTTTTGTGTGCTGCAAAAAACTTCATATATAGTAATGAAGCGTTTTACAAATATAGAAAACGCAGCATTAGTCATAACTTTAGAGATTATCAAATACTTAGTTAAAAGAAATTATGCTCTCATATCCGAAATGACAAAACTACCCATTTTATACTTAAATAGGTGTATGTTTATAGTAAAAATTATGAGCCATAGAAGATGAGGGAATAAACGTTGGGCTTTGTATTGATACGTACGTAAACACACTCACGCCTTCCATTTCGCTCGATCGCGTAACACCTCTCTCGCCTTCTTTACATCTATATATCTACGCATATTCGTCGGTTAGAGGTACTCCTAATCTGGCCGATAAACTTTCGTCTAGGGCGTCCCTTCCCGACTCATATGGATACTCAAACGCTACTAAAATAAAAATATCGTTAAGTTGCGTGGTGTCACAGTCACTTTGACCTAAAGTGATAGACACAGCATGAGACCTAACGGCAATTTGGGCAATAGTGCGCTACCTATTATATACGTTGTAGAGCCATGCTGCAGTTATATTAGTAGTTGTAGCACGAATGGGTCGGCTCGACCGGGGAAGGACCACGCTCTCACAGAATAGCAGCGTAAAATAGTAGTTAATGCTGCTCTGTTTCGTATGGTGAGTGTAGAGACCGGAGATCCTTTTTACTGGAAACGAGGCATTCCATATTAGTCCTCACGGGTGACAACGCATCAGCATTTTGATTCGTAATCGAGGATAGATGTAGATGTCTATGGGCCACAGCAACCACTTACCATCAGGTGGACTATGTGCTCGTTTGTCACCCTAACTTATTAAAAAAAACTATAAAATCGAGATCGATCTCCGCTAAATTGAAATTGTTAACTGCACTAAGTACTGATTTTCGATGCACTGTGCTGTGAATAAAAAACATCGCGAAGAATCTTACATCCAGAAATATTTAAAAAAAAATCGAGGACACATATGGTCCTCAAGTTTGCAATTAGGGCAGCTCAACGAATTCTAGAATGCTCAAAAACCCTCTAAGAAGGGAGAGGAGGCCCGTGCACTACAATTGGACGTATGCAGGGAAATTACGCCTAATTCTTTAAGAGACACATGACAATAATTCGTAATAACGATGTACTGCTTATGCAATAAGGTCAACCTGTCCTTATTGATAAAAACAAACGGAGGAGATAGGGTACGCCCGAACATTATACAATCGAAAATTGGACTACGTGCACTATACACAAACTTATTCACTCAGAATAACAAAACAACAGATACAAGAGTACGATGATCGTAATACTCTATCCCTCTTTCACAATATGGCCGATTATATTCTTTTAAAAATGCATAACTAACGTTCGTAACATGAAAAGTGACATCAAATGCCTTTTTACTATGCTTTTAAATTCATTTAAATAGTCATTGAAATATTTTCGGGGCGTAAGAGAAGGCATTTCGATGACAATTTGATGAGTTTTAAGTTTTTTTTCTCTAGAATAGCGTACTTTCGTGAGCGTCAATAGTGCCAACCGCAACTAAGTGATACTGAGTCAGACAGATTTGGTGGTCCAACTTTGTGACCAAGTCCGCTTCCTTTTTCAGTATCATAAACACGAAGGCAATTCCACCCACACACAAAAACGAAAACATTTATTTTTATATAAAACAATACTCACGACGACTCAGAACCACTCGCAGTCGTTCAAAAAAATCAGAGACAAAACGTTAGCCGCACGTGTAAAACGGTGTCAAATAAAGAGATTAGAGAGATTATTAAAAAACATTTGCTTCATGATCAACCCGTAAACAGTCCAATCTCGACCTTCATCTTCAGCATCAACTTGTATAGTCCTATGCTGGACATGTAAGACAATCGAACGCACTGTCTACCTCACGGTAAGTGGATGCCGTATCCCATAGACATTCATCCTCGTTTAAGAACCAAAATGCAGAATGCGTTGTCACTCTTGAGGACTAAGATTGAATACCTCGTTTCCAGTATAAAGTATAAGGGTCTCCGGTTCTCTATACTTACCACACGTGACACAGCAGCATTAAGCTGCAATATTAAGCTAGTATTTATGTGAGCGTGGTCCTTCCCAATCGAGCCCAACTACCTGCAGCATGGCTCTACCACATATAAAAGCTTCTCAGTATGGACTATTACAATATTTAACACTGAGTATTTAACGCCTGGCGTAAAGTAATGGTAACATAGCTATCTATTTAAAGCCTTAAAATCTTTATGGCCTTTCCTTAATCGCCTATAAAGCCTTAGTCTTTATGGCCTTTCTTAGTCGCTTCTTACGACACCCACGTTATGAAATAGGGTAATATGTTTCTCTTACACCACCACCACTCCGTGATCTGAACATTAGTCTTCCCCAAAGTAGGGAGAATAGAATATCCAGTACCCCATATCGTCCCATGGATGTCGTAAGAGGCGGCAGAAGGAAAAATAAACAATGAAATGGACAGCATTGTCCTCCTAATAAAACTACAATATAAAAAACTACAGTTGCCAACCAGCCTACCAAACGTGGCAACTATGGCAAATATCCTCCTCAGAAAGCAATCCATAGTGAGCCCTTTGTTCAGCAGTGGACTCTAATAGACTCTAAATATATTATTGTGATTTATCAAAATACCAAACTGTCTCGTTTTTAAGGCTCGCGGCTGCTTTCCTAAGCTAGCTTAGATATTTTACAACTGACATAACGTACGGGATAGTTGTACCACTCAATTCACTCAATGGGAAGCTATGAAAATATTACTGACATCTACCCCACTCTTTTCTTCTTTTCTCTTGCTTACTATGGCACACGACGAATTTCGGTCTCGGCGGCCAGTCTCAACGAAGACTAGCCATCTGCGCTGGACAGGATTATGTGCATTGCAGTGCAAGAGTGTATGCGCGCAAGTACAAGTGCACTCCGTTCCCTCATTCTCATTAGCATGATGAGATGCCAGTCCGACATATCCAGAGATAAATCAGGCGCAGAAACAACGACCCCTCGTGATTGGTGAAACACCGTCAACCTCTTGACCCCGGGCCGCTACTTAAAATTTCTTGACAGAATAACCCAATAAATTGATTTTGTCTTCGGCATGCAACCCCGGAAGAAGGTACATTAAAATATCACCAATAAAATAAATTGAAAATTGGAAAAATTTACGCGGACACCACACAATTATTTATATTTCCAAAAAATTGCAATACTCACCACACTTCCATTGTATATTATTTTTCGATCTTTTCTCTAATATTCCTATGCCCTCTAGCACATTCGTGATATCGTATATGCGACGCTTTTGAACTGAAAGCTGTTCCGCTGCAATGTTCAAATCGAGCACTCCATTTGGCGATGACTTAAGTAACGCAACAAACTTTTTTGTAAGTAGACCTAATGATGTGTCAAACCTGGAACAAGAAGCCATATATATGTGTTACATCACCTCTAAAGAATATTATGCATAAGTATAATCTTATCAAACTATTTATTTTTACATCTATAAAAAGTCCTCTTTGCGTAAGTTTAGAAATATGAACATATTCGACACAGAAATATCATATCCAGAAGCGTAGGTACTCTTGTAATTGGATTTGACCTGTGCCTAATAAAGGGATGAATCTTAGATGAACTCTATATTTTAGCCATAATAACAAGGCAGCTAAATAAAGTCGTTCCATTTCATCCGAGTACGACGAAAACTGATTTATTTTGATGTATCGAAATAATACCAACTTGAAGCATTTTATATGATAAAATCTAAAGTGGAATAAGCTAAAAGTCGTTGCCGGGTTTTACATACTTTTATCGACTTTTAAAATCAGATTTTTTACAGATGTATAACCTTAATAAATTAACAAACTGTATTTAATATAGGGAAGGAGTTAGTTTTAAGGCACTTCGGTCGCTACTTAAAACAACAAAAGAGAGCCAATACACAGAATTTAATAAAATATTCATATAATAAAAGAATTTAGCACCTAAAACACCCACGATTTAAAACCAGCTAACACATTATGTTTATTAGTTAACCAGAATCCGCATCATAGGGCCCGTGTTTCCAAGTTCAGAAGGCCAGATGAAAGCTGAATGCAGCGACCGTCCAAGTCTTATTAGAGCAGATAATTTCACCGAAAATGAACCCCTGGTCAATTTATGATAACCTCCCTCCTAAAGTTACAAAAGCGTTATGTTTTTGGAATGAAATTACCTACCTTGCACAAAAATATTGTACCTGGAGCGTTCTGTGTATTTTTTCATAGAACTGGACGGTCGGCTGTAGGGCGTGAGCACTTTGACGCGTTTCTGCTTTGGAGTTTTAAAGTCGGCCTTCATCGGCACCACGTGCCCCTGACTGCCTGAACTGCTTTCACTCAGATTCAGTCTTCTTTTCACCGCCTGTGCACAATGTTCTCATTATTGGTCTACGCCAACTTCCGGGCCCGTTTCACTTTCTGCTTAGGATATAATAAGAATTTCGTATGTGTTATCTATTGTGACAGGATAAAACAATCCATTACCCTATTACGAATTAAGGTGTCGTACATGATCCACAAGGCCTAGACGGGTGACGGGGTACAGCATTCTAAGAAGCATTTGTTTAATCATTCAAAAATAATCCCCCGCGTCACAATTATAACTCCTGCTTACTGATTGAGAAAAAGCCTGTATCAGATTTCATCGTTAACTTATTACCAAGTAGAACATTTAAACTTACCAGACTCGAACATCTGGACCGACAACAGAGAGCAGCATTTAAAATAGGTCTAGTAAAGTAATTACGTCAAACGTAGATGTGGGTGAAATACCCGTGAGCAGCATTAAACTGATACGAGGTATATGCCAAATATATTTATCATGAAAACCATCACAGTGATAGCATTATTTAAATTATTTCATCGTATAACTGTCCTGTCTTGTACCAATAAGATCTCCGAAGCTGCCTAGGATCCCATCTAGGTAGGTACCATTTTCTTGCCTATTTCTGCCTCCAAATATCAGTGTCCACACTGCTGTAATCCGGTTTGAGCAGTAGAAAGCCTATATAATTACAGTATGTGAGGCGTTTTAGTTCTCAGGGGTGACGACGCATCTGTAGTTCTTTGTTTGGATTTGGCTGCATGTGTACATGGGCTGCAGAAGCCAGTTACTATCAGGTGGACTTAAGTTCGAATATCACTACAGTTTTTTTTTTAAACAGAATAAATTTGAAGAAATACATTAACCATATCTTGATCAACTTGCATCACAATCTCAATAGCACCGCTTGTATCGTGGAGGTGGTATACAAACAAATTACACGTGAAAAGCATCCACATCAGAAACAATGGGTGCGTTTGGCAGAAAAAAGCGCTAGCAAGCGCTTACAAGCGCTGAAATAGTTTTCGGCCAAGACACGATTGCTACTTCAGTAGCGCTGACACGATCCGCCATTTTGCTTATTTAATTTGTTTGTTTTGAAGTACAGTTTATAAGTTTTTTGTGCAATATTAGTTTTAAGTAATATAATGACACGAATGGACATATACATGTTATTAAAATTCATGATTGGTAAGTTTTTAATATGAATACTTTACAAACATATATTTAAATTAGGTTAGGTTCCCCGGTTAAAACTAACTTCATGCCCTAGAGGAAAATAGCTACGTACGATTTGACAGCGCTTACTGCCTACGATCGCCATTTTGCTTACAAGCGCTTGCTAGCGCTTTTTTCTGCCAAACGCACCCAATTATTTGTATGACACTTGTTCCGTACGACAATCAAACTTGCAGTCCGCAGCACCGCACCCAAACTCTTGGCCAATGCGTTAAAGAGCCGAGCGATGGTGTTTTTCATAGCCAATGCACAAATCCAAAGTCGTTTTTCGTTAAATTTAGACTTTTTAAAACTTATGATCGTCAAAAACTCTAGTACACAAAATATGAATGTAGGTTGTGATCTCCGACACTGAATCCGAGACTACCAGCGTTACTTTGGTACGTATAGGTTTGGACAAGACGTGGTAGAGCTCACAACTGCCCGCCTCAAATTTCGTAGTACGCGAGTAACCGGTATTCAAACCTCGACAGTATTAGTGAAATAATAGTAAATAAACCACGTATAAATAAACCACGTAAAAAGGGGAATGAAAGTGAACGCAAGTAAGACGAAAGTGATGGTTTTTGAAAGAGAAGAAAGAAAAACGGTATGTGAAATAAGAATAGAAGGAGAGTTAATTGAGCAAGTGGATGAGTTTGTGTATTTGGGATGTGTATTTAGCAGGGATGGTAGATATGATAGGGATATAGAACGAGTAAATGCAGGGAATAGAGTGAATGGGGCACTACACTCTATTATGAAGAACCAGAATGTGTCAAAAAAGGCACGTATGGTAATTCATAATGCTGTGTTAGTCCCTACTTTAATGTATGGTAGTGAAAGCTGGGTGTGGCAGAAGAAGCACGAAAGTAGAATAAATGCTGTGGAAATGCGGTCTTTAAGGAGTATGCTAGGGTTAAATCTGAATGACAGGGTGAGAAATTGCGTGATGAGATAAATGTGATATGCAAGATGATGTTGTGACCAGCATTAAGAAAGGAATGCTTCGGTGGTTTGGTCATGTGGAAAGAATGAATGAGGAAAGAGTGACAGCAAATTTATATGGCAGATGTGAACGGCCGAGTCGGGAAGGGACGCCCTAGAAAAAAGTTTATCGACCAAATTGGCGATATTTTGAAAAGGGGCCACGATAGAAGTACCCTTAACCGACGAGCATGTATGCGTAGATGTATGGATGTAAAGGAGGCGAAAGAGGTATGTCAGGATCGTGCCAAATGGAAGTCCATAGTCTCTGCCTACCCCTCTGGGTGACAGGCGTGAGTGTTTATGTATATGTATATAAACCACGTATTCTGCTAAGAAATCTGCATTGATGGATTCAATCCATCAAGTTATTTCGTATAATGGAATTAAAACAGTCAAATGTAGAGTTGTGTAACTTAGGGTAGCATAAGTAACTCGTTAACGCAATCGGTTATTCGCCGTGCCCAGCAGTGAACAAGTTTTTTTTATAGGATAAGGGTGACAAACGAGCTCACAGTCCATCTGATGGTAAGTGGATGCTGCGGCCCATAGACATCTACATTTAACCTCGATTAAGAATCAAAATGCAGATGCATTGTCACACTTGAGGACTAAGATGGAATGCCTCGATTCCAGTAAAACGGGTCTTAGGTTCTTCGTATGGTGAGTGTAGTACCATACGAAACACAGCAGCATTAAGCTGCTATTTTACGCTGGTATTCAGTGAGAGCGTGGTCCTTTGCCGATCGAGCCGACCCATTCATGCCACAACCATAATATAGCTGCAGCGCCGCTCTACTACGTCTAAAATTGTAATTTGTTGTTGGGTTTGATGTTTTATAATTAATATAATGCGTTATCTCTGTAGCAGTATTCAGTAGTAAACTTGTTACACTCTGATGGTAAAAGAAGATCACATTGACTCTGCCTTTGATCCGAATTTCAAAACCAGAATCCGCGGGTTTTTTTTATAGGATGAAGGTGACAAACGAGCACACAGTCCACCTGATGGTAAGTGGATGCTGCGGCCCATAGACATCTACATTTATTCTCAATTAAGAATCAAAATGCAGATGAGTTGTCACCCCTGAGGACTAAGATGGAATGCGATAGAGCGTTTCCAGTCAAAAGGAATCTTCGGTTCTCTACACTCAACATACGAAATACAGCAGCATTAAGCTGCTACTTTACGTTGGTATTCTGTGAGAGCGTGGTCCTACCCCGGTCGAGCCGACCCATTCGTACTACAACATTACCACCTAAAAACCAAATATTAATCAAATATTTGAACATGAGCTTCTATACAAAATAACGTAAATGTAGAAATACCAGTATAACTAGATCAACACATCTTTCATTTTTAGAGCGTTTGTTAACGGGAATACAACGGCCATGTAAAGATAACGGTCCGAGGTTCGAGGTGGTAAGTTTTTAATGCATCCTTCCCCTTTCTGTTGACTTCGGATAGCTAACCAAATAATAAAATTACAAACTAAAACACGTTAACTTGGTCACAAACCTAAACAGAAATTTATTTAGTAAACATTAAAGCTTACATCATTTTTAAATGAAAGTTAATACAGGCATGAGTAACTTTCTTTAGGAATTATTTATTTTTTATCAAAAATTACAGTTACATTGTTTCAATTACTTTCTCAATCGTTTAAAATAAATAAACATCTTCCATTGTTGACTCATCAAACTGTACGTACAAGGTAGACACTCCCTTAAAACAATTAACGCATTTTTTAAATTTGTTAATGAAGTACCCCTATCATAAGGCAATTCAAACAAAAAAAGCTATGCTTCAATTGCATGAGTTCAAAGTTAAATAAATGTCACGTAAGTCAGCTGTATATATATACGGTTAATAATAATGCCGGTGAGAACAATGAAAGGAAGACTTTGAATCCGTGAACTAGCTAGAAAGATATTATACGACATTAAAATAAACACTGCACTTAATGAAAAAATAATTTAAGACTATATTTATGTATAATAAATACCCAATGTGAAATTAGACCCTCCACAGAGATATAACATTCGAAACTCGGCAATTATAGAATCTTAGTTATACGTCTAACAATAAATTCAACATCTATAAAAAACGCGGGAATATTTGGAAAATATTCATAGCTCTTGACTTACTCATAAAACTTACTTTAACAATTAGATATGTCATCGCTACGATTATACTCAAATATCACTTGTATCACTATTTCACACCACACACGCATTAAATTATTTTTGATATCAACCACAAAAATTTGGTTTGTTACATTTCAGAAGTCAACATTTATAAATATGTATGAATGGAATCAACATAATCGTTACTTATTTAAAAATACTGACAACAAATTACGAAGGACTATGGAGAGCGCGGAGATAGATGCATGAGACATTTTCAATGAGCCGATGCAACAAATTCAATTTCCAACAACGGGGCCAGAGCCCCCTTTGAGGAAGTGTGTGGGGAGGGTACCTACCGGCACAATGCACGACATAAATTAGAATCTACACAAAAGCCGCGAGCTCTTGTAAGGGACCTCCGGCAAAAGAACGCCAATTTCTTATCTCAAATTTTTTTGTTATTATTAATAGTGAACAGGCCGCTCTATTGTTAATTCGCTGAATTGTGGGTCTCACAAGTCTTTGTGCCCGTATATGTGCCCGAGTCTGAGTAAATCAGAGCAGATGTGCCAGCGAGCCCGTCGCAAGAACGTCAACCCCTGCTTGAAACAAAATTCGCCATTAACATAATCAATTGAGCCCTTCCTGTGATTTTTATGCTAATATTTCATAGGTGAAATACATTGTGTCGAATAGATATCTATCTATACAATAGATGATTACGCAGGAAACTTTTAACACGGATCGATTTAACGAATGGTTTATATTCGTCGTTATATCGTAATTCAAGGGGTGAACACCCCTTGAGTCGCAGGGATTACGGTTGTAAGGAAAGGGCATTGACTGAATCGCGCAGTGCGAGAACGCAGGGAACGTGTACCTGGCCACGTGACCCCCATGGATTGGCCACATGGCGCCGCGCGGGTGATCAGCCTATGAGCGACAAACTGCCGACATGTGTCTCACTACACTTGTTGGTAGCTATTTTTAAGTACACAATATATACGAAAACAACAAGTTTAAGGTTAGACCTCCAGCTGTTAATAAAGTTTTTTCAGCTTGAAACATATTTAAGCTTTCGGCAAAATGCCACAATTCGATGCCGAAAATTTTACAGTATCAATAGTCATTAGCCCCAAGATTGGCTGCAGAGCCCACGCAAGAAACGATAATTTGGCTACCATTAAATAAATTATGCCAGAAGAAATTCTGACGTCACCCCGTCTTAATTCACGCTACTAGAATGAGGAAATAAGAATGAATTTAAAGTACAGGAAAACATTAATTGAAACATTTCTTAACACCACAATTATCAAACAGGAAACATTGTTTGGACCTGGCTAAAAAAATCAAATCATGTGTAGGTAACAAAGCTAAAGGAAATAAAAATCAGTAGAGATAACATACACTAGAATTAATATTCAATACAGCAATAATAAGAGACGTAATATGTTAGCGATATAACGAAGTGTGTAGTGGTGTTGTAAGAATATCAACTAAAAGTAAAAACTGCGGTTGCGAACCGCGTGGCAAATATGGCAACTCTTATGAGACAATATACGAGGAAGCCTATGCTAAACAGTAGACTGATAAGCTGCAATATGTACACACATGTGTATGTATGTAAGGTGTCAATATGCAATGTAATATGTAAAATGGATACCACAGCTTGTATTAAATAAGAAAAATACAAAGAATATTGTGTGTTATATTTTTTACGTGGCAGAACCACTCTGCAGCTATATTATGGCTGTAGAACAAATGGGTCGGCTCGACCAGAGAAGTACCCCTCTCTCACAGACTACCAGCGTAAAATAGCAGCTTAATACTGCTGTGTTCCGTATGGTGAGTGTAGAGCTCTGAAGACCCTTTTTTACTGGAGACGAGGCATTCCATCTTTGTCCTCAGGGGTAACAACGCATCTGCATCTGCCTATGGGCCACAGCATCTACTTACCATCAGGTGGACTGTGTGCTCGTTGGTCACCCTTATACTATTTTTTTTTAAATCTTAATTTTCGTAAGTTGCAATAAATGAAAAGGTAACAAAATACTATTAAAAATATAAGCTTGAACATAAACTATCAAAGTATAAAAAAATTAAAGCAAATTGAAGTCCCATGCAGTCACGGCGTAAGCAAAGTCACCCCATAACGTACGGTGGGGGTCGTAAGCGACAGAGGGAAAGCAAAAAAGGAGAGGGCAGCAATGTCTTCAACAACTAAAACAATAACAAACTGCGCTTGCCAGCCTGCCTGCCAAGCTTGGCTATTATGGCAAATATCTCTCTTTCAGCCAATTAATGGGGGGGGCAATCAATCTAAAAAACCTATGTTCAACAGTGGGCTATTGACAGGCTATAATGAATGAAGAAGTAACAAATGAAGACACTAAACAACCTGCAGCAACATCTAGAATATTATAACTAATGATAACCAATATGGCATATGAGTCTGACAAATTATTTATTATAGGCTGCAAAGAATCATTCCAACTTAGTCCTGAAAAATACCTATTCACCTGTAGCTTTTTTCATTACAAATTAATTGCAGGTGCTATAGACAGCAGCATGGCCATTTTTTTCACTTGGTGGATGAGCCAATTTTTTTCTGGTTCAGAGGCAGTCTAAATAGTAAGCAGAAACAACCCCATTACTGTATCTATTATTAAACAGCAGCATATATTTGTTGTGATCTTTTAGCTATGGAAACTCAGTATAATTACAAAAAGTAACATAGTATACTATACTACAGCTCTAAAATTAGTGCTTGGAGGTGACTATTAGAGACATAATATGCTGTGGTGATAATACACGTCCGTAGCTATCATACCAGTCTCAGATGAACTACTAACTTGTTTTGTTTTTAAAATTCTATATAAATTAAAAAAAAATATTCATGATAAAATCTTCTTTAAGAGCCTTTGTCCATTTGAGGTCCAAAATAATGAGAGCTAATATTCATCGGTCACCAGTAGTTGCTAGTTGACACTGAGGTGAAGTTTTTGTTACACAATGTCATTTAATTCAGAAGTTATTTTTAAATAAAAGTTTATCAGTTTCTATAGTACTATATTAAATACACAAAACCGCTTCAGTTGTATGCTCTTTAATTTTTTGCACATTTTTAACTCCTTTTTAATTTTTTTCTTTTTAATTAATATCTGTGGTTTATTTATTTATTTATTTATTATTTTTAATCTAATGAATATAAAATATAAGTAACCATACACAAAGAAACATTCCCTGTTGTGAAACCTGTCCAATATTACACCTCATAGTTAAGTGGCGACGCCCTGGTGGCAGATAAAGTCATGGAGGTCCTCATTGTAACAACAATAATCATAAAAAAGAAATAGAATGCTTGTTCTTTCTATAATAATAAAAATGAATGTCACTTTTTATTTCGCAAGCAGCTATTCAGGTCTTTTACGATAAATATTATTATGTTCCCTACATATAAAATTATTTACCTAGCCCAGACTTTTTGTGCAATTTGTTTCCTAAAAGGATGATTAGTAGTCATCATTCAGATGGAGATACTTGGGTTGTATCTATATTTCTAAGAAACTACAAATGAAAAAAAAAAGAAAGATGCCGCCACTGGAGCTTGAATAAAGTTGACGGATGCAGGTGTCCGTGGTTCTAACCATGCTTTGAGGCATTCCTTGGAGGAGTCCCATATTCAGCAGTTAACTTGTGGTGAGCTGTAAAGATGATGATGATATAGATGCATCTATCCCTAACATCCAAGTAATCATGTGTACATAACCTAATAACTGTAGGATACTGCTCACAAGATTGATATTGAGTAGTTCTCAAAAACTCAACCCTCAACAATTTACTAAAACAGAGTTCAATGAAAGTTTGTTCCACAAAATTAATATGGTTTATTTTGTAAACAAATACATGATGAGACAGTATTCTAAGAAAACCTTGAATTTCAGCTCAAACTTGTTAAAATTTGAGTTTAAAACATTGTTTATACACTTGTCACTTAATACCAGCCTTAGAAAAATTTCAGTTAAGTAACAATTGCTGGGTAATAATTCAGATAATATTATGATAATATTTATCTAAAATATTATTATATTTATTTCGTATTTTTTATTTACAAAAAAAATTGTCTAATAACTTTTCACATCTGGTAACCATAAAATGAGTAGAAACCTAATTCTTTTTTAAGGTTATTGACCTCATGTTAAGGTCTTCAACCTTATGTGTGGTCAAAGTATATGTTAAAATGAATGTATTTCAGGCCAAAGAAGAATATTGCATAATAATTATGATTGGTTGAAAGTTAAAAATGTAACCTATAAGTCCTTGTTGCACAAAATTTAAAATAAACAATACTTCTCTGTTATTGCATTGTAACAATTTGCAACACACAATATAACCTACCATTAGCTTGAGTTATTAATTTACATAATAAGTAGTTGTATCCATTATTAATATTAGTAACACTATTGATCACTCCAAGTAAGCTTAAAATGCTTATGTGTAGTTCACTACAGTAGTCAAATAGTGGATAAAAGCCCACAACTTTAATATTGCAGAAATATCCTTGACAATTAGTTTACTGCCACTTCAAGACTTATTTAAACTATATTATAAACTCTAACAAGAAATTAGGAGTTCTACTCTACAGTCACTACTTTAGAAAATAATATGACTGTGCAAAATTATTATTACACAATGTTATGTACAGATGTGAGAAGTTAAATCGATAGCAATGCTATATATTTTTTAAATACTTCCTTTAAATCCTTGTCAACTGTATTATACAATGCATTGTAAAAATGAGTATCAGTTTCTTTTGATTTTTGTTAAAAACTGCTACCAAAACGCATGTGTGATCAAATGCAAGTGATCTTCAACATTAACCTTACACAGCATGAGAGTCATCAGCTAGCTAAGGACTCTGCTTTGTCGAATATGTTCCGCAGTAGATATGTATGTAATTTACTGAAATGGTGATGAAAATCCATACAACTATACAACTCCTGCTCATTCTAAATATACAACATTTTCAGTGTCATTAAACTTAGATGGCATGACTCTGTAGTAGTGAAGAATAAATTAGATAAGATTTATTTATCCAATTTAATCCTAAATCCAAATTAAGGCAACAAAGGGAAACAAACTAGAGCATGTGAGTAATACATCTTCCTAATGACAACTAGAAAATAGAAAATTGCAGTTGGCAACCTGCCTGCCAAGTATAGCAACTATCGCAAATATTCCCCTTATGAGGCAATCTATAGGAAGGTCTATGTTCAGCAGTAGACTGATAGGCTCTTGTAACATGTATGTATGTATGTAATTAAATAAGAAAAATACAAAGTGTGTTATGTTATAATCTTAAGTAAATCTTGTATATGTCATAGCCATCCTTTACAATTTAGTTTTCATTACCATTTGCCAAGTAATAACTAAATGAAATGTGAAGTACCTAATTTAACAACAAAACATTGAAATCAGCATTGGCAACAATAGTATATGGACCAATGTTTCATTTTTGGCTTTAAGAAAATGTACATCATAAATTATTCTTAAGAGATGTAAAGAGGTGTGTCAACTTACTTCTGACGTCTTCGGCGGTGCCGAGGGGGCCTCGCGCCGTATTTGATGCTGTGGCGTGGCACCATAGCCATGATCGAGTAGGTGGTAGCTGATGGGCTGACTAGGGCTATCATCCAGTAGAGTGGTGTGCGACGGAGACGCCCCAACGCGCACCACCACCTCTGCTTCACCCTCCGCCTGCCCTCGCTTCACCCCCCTCGGCATCGCTGTTAAATAGAAAAGAAAACATATAAGCATGCTTACAAACTTACAATGATAAGTTTATACAAAGATGAAACGTAACATACACAATTAAATTAGCGGAGAGGTTAGAGGCGCCGCGCGCGCGGAAATCACAGGTAAGAAGCCTCCAAAGCGGAGTGGGTCGATATAAATTATAATAACTTTTATGTAATATGCATGGTCCAGAGCACTACCTGCATATGTCCAGTTTTGCTTACGTCACTTTTTCAACGACATTTTCCCCAAAATATCGACGACCTAGCGGTAATTCCTAAGCAAAACCGTTTCAAAAATGATACGTATACACACTTAAAAAAATATAGAATACCTATTCTTTAATTGTAATACTTACGAAAGGTGTAAGCGAACGATATCCGAATTCAGAACCATAAAACGACATTTAATGTTTTCGACGCAAACGCTACATTATCGAGTACTCAAAATAAAATGTCCGCCGCTTTGTTGGTCTCAACTGAACTCGTGGACATCGAGCCTGATAAGTTTCAGTAAATGTCACAATTTACAGTACACATATTAATTTATTCACTAAAAACTTCACTTTTAATAAAATACAAAATATAGAGTCTATTCCACATTTTATATTATAAATAAAAATGCAGAGCAATGAAACGACGACAGGAAGCTTTTCAGAACATCTGGCTTGCAAGCGACGTATAGCAGTGGCGCGAACTACGTGCGCAGGCGCGAAGCGACCGGCCAACCAACCCCTAGCGGACGCCGATCTCCAAATTCCTCCCCTTGTTTGAGAAGCCGTAAAAAATATAGTAACGAATTTTTGAAATTTCAATTTCGTTAGGCAACCGGTTTTATGTAGAGCGTAGAGCGCATCGAATATAATATATCCAAGAGATGCATCGCAATGCGGAATATTGTCAAATCGTTTTAATATTTTTCGTATTGTAGCATAATTTTAAGATATTTTATTATACTCTTTTAACTATATATCTGTTTACTTAGAAAAACATTTTATAACTCATTGGTTATTAAAGTAGCCTAACAATAAAGGCGATGTCGGTTAAAATTTTCAGTTACGTGTAGCAATACTTTGATTAGGTAACTTGTAAAATTTTGTGGACAAACAACTTCATTTGTTATACTAGAAAGCTGTTTCGAGTTAGGTACGATTTAAACAACTATTTTAATAAAAGTAAACACAACAGCAATAAGCGCCACATAACACAATAATGTATTTAATTTAATATAAGTAATACCTTCTTATATATTTATATGATTGTTATTAAGTCATAGTATTCCTAGTATTTATACCAGTAATTAAATGCTTGATAACTTATTATTTACCTTAAAGAAATTTAATTTTTTTACTATTGTGTTTGACGGTTGCTTACAAGTTACATTTGTAATAAAAAGAATCTCGATAGAATAAGTAGGTAGGTACGGAAATAAGTACCTCAGAATAACCAATACAAGTAGATAATATCTTAGATATGTTTAGTATTGATTTGAAATGTAATTTTTCATATAAAAACAAAGATTTCATAAATCACTACGTAACAAAACGAAATAACATTCATCACAAAATGACTATGTATTATTTGTTGATTTTTTGTTAACAATATAATATAATAAATTAAAATACACTTTAAATATGCAGATGTACCTTAGGATAAGTTTATTAATATGCCCGTTCTACTCAAATGAAATTTTGCAGATTCTCCAATGATGATCATTATTATAATGATAGATCGCTTGTAATAAGATAATTATCATAAATTACAAGCCGTTCATAATAATTTTCTTTATAAAATTTTATATCCAAGAATAAACGAATGTTAATATTATCAAAAACTTTATAATTCACTAATAGGCACGTTTAAAAATTTAAATATGATACGCGCAATGTACTTTTCTACAGGAAGTTATGACGAAAGCGCGAACTTGACGGAAATGATTATAGAAAATAGATATATAGTCATAGACAACTATAAATTAAAAAAGAAAAACGTGTTAGTTTATGCTTCATCCATAGACGATTCAAGTCTTGCCACTGAGAACCAATAACCGTACGCTCACCAGATGTCACTAATTGGGACTAAGGTGATTAAGGTGTACTTAATTGTTACGTTTAATTTGAACTTAGTTTTACTATTTTTACTTTAAGTATACACATAAAACAAGTCTTCAATGCTGTATTTTTATACGTTTTTAGCTTTTTTAAATATTCTTCAACTTTTAGAAACATCCCTAATTTGGTTTTATCCATTTCTATTCTAGTTCATATAAAATATAACATATATTTCAAAAATAAATATTAATGTCTACTTTTTTCTATCAAATTAACTCCCGCCACTATGAAATCGGTCAAATATTTCATCTCACTCCTAAGTGGCGCCGTCCTTGTGGCAAAAAAAAGGCGTAGATGCCCACAGGTCGACATTTTAAACATCGTTTGATTTATTTACATTTTTTACTTTTTGATAGGCATGACACAAAATTAAATCTAATTAATCTAATTTAATAGGCAGAACTAGAATCAAAGTAAAACAACTTGGCGACTTGGTTATTGATATGTATTTTTAGTGTTGAGCTTGAGATTATGGTAGTAACGTTGTGTACCAATACCAAATAATATAGGTACTTAGCTAGTAATTACATACGGAGAACAGACCACGGAACAATATACCTACTAACAAAAATCAAATGATACCAATTAATAAGTGCCAGTGATGACTTACGGATCTGAGACGTGGTCCTTCACTGCTGGCCGTATGAGGACGCTCAAGATCGCTCAGCGAGCTATGGAGAGGGCTATGCTCGGAGTTTCTCTGCGTAATAGACTCAGAAATGAGCATATCCATAGTAAAACCAAAGTGATAGACATAGCCCAACGGATTAGTAAGCTGAAGTGGCAATTGGCCGGCCATATAGCTCGAAGAACCGATAAACGATGGGTAAGAAAGGTTCTCTAGTGGCAGCCTCGTACCGGTAGACGTAGTATAGGGCGACCCCCCACTAGATGGAGTGATGACCTGGTAAGTCGATGGATGCAGGTGGCTCAGGACCGTGCTTTGTGGCATTACTTGGGGGAGGCCTATATTCAGCAGTGGACTTGTGAAGGGCTGTAATGATGATGATGACCAATTACTAATTAAAAACATAGAATACATAAATACATAATAGAACAGGGAAGTGGGCGGAGCCCGTGTAGCCTTTATCATGTCACTAACATGTCGATTCACACCTATAAATGTCAACACAATCAATATTTTCCAAACAACGAATTCAACGGGAAATGGAATTTAAATAAAGGAGATATACAGTTAGTCGAAACCGTTTATATTTTGTGTCAAAACATTAATTCAAAAATCTAAAATGTGTCAATTCGCTCGGACAGCACAGCGAATCGGGTTTGTAGTAGTGATAATACGACGTAATTATGTGTGATCCCGGCGACACCGATCCTCGTACAAAATAAGTTTGACAGCCATTCTATTGTGCATTATAGTATTCTATGATTAAAAACATTGTTTCCTTTTTTAGGTAAATGAAAAAACAAGACCGATGCGATGCGATTTGCAAGCGTTTTTAAAAAAACTTTATTGCCATCACGGACGGATAAAGAAGGTAAGGACTGCATAAAAATTGAAACACCCCAAAACAAGCCAACTACGTGTAAATACGAACCTACACGCACACACTGACACAAAGATAAGCCGATCAGCCACCATTACGTTCGCGTATCAAAAATGGAAATAATGCCGTCGTTTGTCGTTAAATGGTGCAATAATAATACCACATTACAAAAAAGTGCCAAGGGATTACCTTTCACAGATAAGCCGGTTCTAATTACATTATTTACTACGCACATATATACAGCATAAATGTTGCTTCACTTGCTAGTATCGCGATGCGGAGTCCTTACTTTTTTTACTCGTCCGTGATTGCCATCTTATTTTTATATAGTAAAATCAATAAATTTTCATATTTTTGTCATGCCACATGATTGTAAGTAACGCATAGACATCTACATCTATTCAAGATTGAGGATCAAATGCAGATGCATTGTTATTTGTTACTTGTCACACCGTATAACTAAGAATGTTTCAGTAAAACGGATTTCCAGATCTCTATACTCAGAAACACATCAGAATAAAGCTGCTATTTTACACTGGTATTCTGTGAGAGCAGTAGTCCTTCTCTGGTCGACAGTCAACCATAATATAGTTAGTTGTAGCATGTATGTGCGCCACAACCAACTTTATTATTATAATTGTATTTCTTATGTTTGTAATTTTTATACGTGCTACAACCATAATAATATAGTTGCAGCGTGCTTACAAATAAGTTTTTTAGTAGAAAAAAAGAATATGCTTATGGATGAGAAACTTAGGCGGTTTCTAAACAAGACAAATAGCGACTAAAACTATTTATCCAAAAGTTTTCGAACCGATGAGAACACCAGACGATATGTAGGTTCAGATTGGGAATGAAGCATGAATTAGATGTAGTGATTAAAAAAAAACGTTAATTGCTTCTATAAATTGTGAAGACTACGATGAATTTAGATAGAAAAAATGACTGAAAGGAGTAGAGATATAGAGAAGGATGTCAGGGCGATGGGCAAGTGAAGTCAACAAAATACATTAAAAACAGTATGAAAGATTCACAGCGCATCTAACGTTATGGACTTACAAGTCCTCCAGAGTTGTTCTCAGTAAAAGGCCGACTGATGCTGGTGATGGGTGACGATGGATAGCTATAGGATTTTTGTCGGCGCGTGTTCTCAATAATCCACTTTTGCTCATAAATAAATAGAAGATGTGTTGGAGGACGTGATCTTTTAATGGATTGTGTATCACAAGTCCCTCACATTTTAACGATAATTTCGCTCTTAGTTTTTTAACAGTTTACACCGCTGTTTTTATGTCCAACTCTTTTCAAGATTGTCCATCCGCCTAACTCTGAAATGGCTTACCAATTTATATGAGAAATCCTTTGTCACT